GTCTAACTTCTAAGTCTAATTTTCTAATTTCTTTCTTATATGGAAACAGCGCCAGCAGCGTCAGCAGGCGACACATAAGGAGACGAGAATATTCGCCCTAACGGGTACTGATCTCATAGCCGCATACCTTCGATAGCCTAGAGGCAGGGCCTCAAAAGTGAAGGTTGTTTGAACATCTGACCTCGTAAAAAGGTGAAGGTTGTTTAAAGAAGTTCAGATAAGAGAAAATGACGTTAAGCAGATATAAAAAGCAAAAGGAACTGCTGAAAACCGGATAAAAACGCTGCAATGAGGTTTGAAATCTTTCATTTGGCGGCTTTCCAATGTGCAGGGTCTTCGCTCCAGGACCAGCAATTCGCAACACGGGGTAAAGCGAAGCAGAGCCAATTTGTTTTTCTGTAATTGTTTCAAAAAAAACATGTTTCGGAAGGAGTGTCAAGAAGAAGATAAAGAAAAATTAGTTAAGAAAACGCAAAGTTTCTTTTTTACTAAGTCGAAAAGAACGTCGAAGCCAAACTCAATTTTTGATGCGTCCTTTGAATTTTTACCCCCGCATTGATGCTCCTGTTCCCTAGGACGTTGCCCGGATTGTTGCGCGTATTGTTCTGAGCAACAATCGCCCAAGCTGGAAAAAAATTGCTGCGAAAGACTGAAACAAAAAATACTAAAGAAAAACGCACTTTTTACGATCTTTCGCAAAAAATTGCACCATAATCGAAGAGATAAGGGCTGGGTGGTTGTTTGCATAATGAATAGAAGCAAGATCTATAAAATGCACGAAAAAACCGCTTGAAAAGTGTTAAACTAGGAGAAAAACAAGAGATTTCCTAAAACAAGGTTTTTGCCGGATTTCTCGATCAAATCAAAAAATGTGGTTTTGGGACGCTGTCAGCGTGAAAATAGAGCTCGAGCTTTAAAATGACACATAGCTTGCTAAAATTGGATTCGAAACAGCGAAGAAAAGGTACCAGAGCCAAATGCCCCGCGCTCCGCGTTTGGGATAGCGAGGTAGCGCGCACCGCGCGGAGACGCAGATGAGCAGCGGAGACGGATCAGAGCCGACGGGGCATTTGGCTCTGGTAGTAGATCCCGCGGGGTCTCAACGAAACTCTGCAACATTATATATCATTCTGATCATCGTAACACGACGAGGAGATCTGACAACGTCCCAAGCTTTGAAAATCACTCATTAACGAGGGTAGACCAGCGTTTGCGTGTGCGACTCTCTGCTCAAGATTTTAACTCCAACGGCTTTCTTAAACTTCTGAAACTCGATTTTGGTTAAACAGGAGGTTAACTAAAAAATGTTGTCCTGAATTTTGGCGAAAATTTCACAGAAACCTTTTCACGTAAAAAGGGCTATGAAAACGCAAATTTTCGGTTTCGCTTAGATAACCTGAAGATATTATTTCCTATATCTGCTTCATTAACATTCGTTCCGATACAGTCAGGATAATAACATCCGGGGCTTCGCCCCAAAAGACTTTTTTTCAGGTGAAGCTTGTGTCCCGTCATAGCCTTCGAATTGAAGGTTACCAGAGCATGTGGCTCTATGTATCGGGGGTATGCATAGCCGGCTTGTTTAGCGCAAATGTGAAATCTTGTGCGCGCATAATTTTGTCTTTCACTTCCAAATTTGTACAATACTCCCTCTACGCATTCTGTAATCTATCACCATGTAATCACCATTACTCCCACCTCCTGTTTCGGGGAAGTTGAATGTTGCGTTTGTGGACTTAGCGATGTTTTTGAGTTCATGGAGAAAGTTACTTTTGCTCTCATGTTTTCACGTTAGAAAGAAGGAAAAAACTTCTCTTTCTTTCTAACTGACGTGAAAGTTTTCGAAAAAAATATAAAACATTCCACTTTCCCTAAGCGCTGTTCCATGAAGAACTATATTTCTGCATTGACGTGCATATCTATGACTCCTAAATTTGAAGTTCGCTTTAAAATTTGATGCACTTTTATTTCTCATCACTTCTGTACGTGAAGAAAACTGAGTGCGACTTTCTTGATATTTGTGTTGTTTCGTAGACATGTTGTCGGCCGCGCGTTTTTGTGAAAACCCCAATTAATCTTCCAACTTTACTCTGAAACCAATTTGTTGTTTTGAAACCACTTATGCGGCATCAACTATCGCTTGCCGAAATTGAACCAATAAAATCGCGTTATTGACTAAATCTTATTATATATGGTTCGGTATCTGTTACCTTATGATTATACTAGCGGTCTTACACGGCTCCGCCCGGCCTGTCAAAACGCTATGATAAATCTCATCTCTCTCCCTGTACAACCTTTCCCTGTGTGCATTTCTGCATGTTAAATTCCTATTCCCCCTGCGTTAGTAATCAGCATGCTTACTTACCCCATATCCTGTGTCAGTTCCCAGCCCCGTAGCTCAAACATCGCAAAAAAATCGATAAAACTGATAAAAGCAACAGATGATTTCAAAACTGATATTGTATTCGTAATCAGCATGTTCGATTACCTCCCTGTGCCAACTTTCAAACTCATAGCCCAAACTTTGCGAAAAAATCTATAAAAATCTATAAAAATGTTGATCGATAACGAAAAGTAGCCTACGACACCCGCCCCGCCCCGAAGTGCATGTGCCAAGTTTGGTCCGGATCGGTTTACAATCGGAATTTTCTATTCGGAACATTTTTACAGACCCACACACATACACAGACACACAAACAAACGAACATTCAGCATATAGCTTTATATATCAGATGCATCCAATCTATTTCACCCACATTTTCTTCATTTTCGTTCTTTCTCATACTACGGATTCGCATGGATTCGCTATTCCTGCATGCGTGTTATGGAGTCGGGCTGTTCATGTGCGAATAATCATTACTCGTGTTTCAAATCAGCTGAAAACAAACTAGGCAGAAGAGGAAAGTTTGTTCCAGGGTCAGTTGAGCGCCCGTTGTTCCCTGACGTGGCAGCCGCTCCAAAAAAAAACCCGCGCTCCGTGGTCATTGTAATGCGCGCGGCGCTTGCTACTGGCGCGCCCGCGCCATCGTCCGGGCCAAAACCGGCTGGCATCCGCGCTACCTCTCCGGGCCAAGCCCGGCTGGCGTTCGGCCGGCGACCGACTCGCCCGGAATTGAGGTGTTGCCACAGCCGCTCGCCGTCCAGTCACCGGCCGGTAAATGTATCTGAGTAAGCAAGTTTTTGGGCTTGCGGTTATGGCCCAGGCGCGGGGTTTTCAGAAACGGATTTCCCGGCCGGTATTGAACAGTTTGCGCTGCCCCTTGAGCAATGCCTTAGTTAGGACCCCTTCATCAATTTCCAGACGAAAAACCTATGCTTTCAGATTTGCCTGGACACTGCCTTGAAGGAAGTTTGAAATTAGAATTTTATGCCCTCTCAACCAATCATCCTTCTTTTGTCAAAATACAGATCAAAAGCTTTAGACGATTGATAGAGAAACGCTTTGAACGTTATTCGATGGAAAAATCATTATTCTTTTTTAGCAGTGATGTTTTCGTTTCAAGTTCTTTGATGATCGCTCAAAAGATCGTCGGAATCTTCAACCCACAGTTTTCACCTACCCTAATTTCGGCAATCTTCTAGAAATCTCCTGTTATAATTTGATAAGACTTTGAGAACAGCTGGAGAGATTAAAGGCACCCTCCACCCAAAATTTCGACCTCCATGTTTTTGCCATTCCAGGGCCTTCCCGTGCCCCTGATTCCGAATACAAGTCGAAAATTCGCGAAAACCACGAAAACCCCAGTTTTCAGAACCCGCAGAGTGGTTTCTTCGATACGGTGATTGGTTGGGCACGGATGGGCGGGACGAACGCCACGCCCACCCGAGAGGGGAGGAGCCAACGTCGCAAACCTTCTCCTGGAGCAATTTCCGAAGCAATTTTCTCGCTTCGAAAGCAACTTTTGACAGCTTGAGTTGGATAAGTATATAGTTGAGGGCCCCACTACTGTTAGGCATCAAAATCTCATCGACCCCATTTTGAGTGGACGATGCCTTTAAAGTATGCAACACATCCGTTGGTATCTACAGCTGGCTTTTCAAAATTATCAAAATTATGTTGATGCTATCATTCATACTGGGCGTCCTAAATCATCTCATAGAAACGGCGACCATTTAAGGTGTCACTGGATGCAGCTTCTGAAAAGTGCATCTACCGCAAAACATGTATCTTATCATTTGGGCATTGGTCTGACATGCACTTACTTTGATTCCAAACGTTTTTATATACTGCAAAAAAATTACGTAAATTCAAACGTTTCGGACCGGTGCTGCACATGGTGCAGCACGCTGTTTTGAGGGATCTTTCTGGCGTTTACAGGAGGTTTCCTTTTAGTCTAAAGTTGTTAAGTTAAAGGTCTAACCGTCTACTTTTCAAATGACTCTATAGAGTTGTGCCGCCGGTATTTGTTTAGGAGATATGGACACAAATCGAACAACAGTTGCAACGAAGTGCGGCGACGCGAACGACGCGTGCGACGTCGCAACTTTCCTTTGCTTCGATATCAAAGAGAAAAACCGTAGTTTCAATACTGATGTGTGCCGTGTACAACATGAATACTTTTGAATACTATTAGAATCTGACTTCTTGTTCCTATCTTTCAAGAAAGCACAAAAGTCCCTCTTAAGCGACAAAATTCAAACACTTCGAATTTACTCAGAACTTTGGATATGGAGCTTATCTGACATGATGATTACAAATGTGGCCCACAGGCTGCGAAATAAGTTCCCTTTGTAGGCTAACGACTGAAAGTACACTCTTTTTCGCCGCGCGCGATTTCGCGGTCCGAAACGTGTTGACACGTAAATAGCTTACAGGCTTACACGTACATGGCTTTTTCGAATTTCATCAACTACGCTCACGATCAATTACTCGACCAAGGTCAAGGTAACTTGCCGTAAGTTCTGCTAAGGCTTGCCTCAGATGACTCAGCTGCGGCGGACCACTTCAGACCATACCTCAAACTTTCACACAACGCATTTGCAACGAAAGAAAAATAAGAAATTTATCTTCACACAGGATCACATTTGTAATGCCTAGACCTGTAGAATAGAGTACCCAGTAGACCGAGGTGGTCAAAGTATCGAATAAGGGGCGGGAAGCAAGACAAAACAAGGACCTATACACTGATATTCAACAATCTATCAGGAGAGGTGCCTAAGTGAGCCAACTAGTCTGCATGCGAATTGCAATCGTGTGCAGAGGAAACATTCACACCAATACTGAGCGCAAATACTGTGTTGCAAATTCCTGAGTGTTTTGAAATTCTGCGATAGGGTTAACTAAGTGATTGTGAAGAGGTCGGAAGACTTATTTTTTGATAGCCATTAGAAAAATGACACCATCCTCCTTGAGCACATATTTCTTTACAGAGTCCAGATCGATACCAGCGCTTCCCATAGCATTGAGAATCTGATCTTCACTTAGGTACAAGAGATGGAAAATCACCTAAATACGGAGATGTCAGAATTGAGGTCAGAATTTTCGACAAGCACTTGCCCCTTTGCCTGAATTGTATGATTCTTCTTCAAGGACCGATCCGAGCACAAAGCGGCCACCTGGACGCAGATGGTTCACCTAGAATATGGGATTACAATTAAAGGAAGTTTCGTCAAAACATAAACAGCACGGTTATGTACAAGAATGGACTCTAATAAAAAGAGTCAAGCAACTAGCAGTATTTATTTTACGCATGTTGGTACACTATTCATCTAAGCTTTATGAACTCACCATGTTCTTTACGCATTGACAGTACTCCGTATAATTCTGGCAGGCGCTTTCGAGGGTGAAAATGGACACTAGCACGTCTACCTAAACAAATATTGATTTTTCTAGCCACACCAGCCGTTTTTGAAACAAGTATTTGCATCTAGAAGCTACTATTGTGCTGTTCTATCATCAACTGCCAAGAATGTCGACGCCCTTAGTAGAGTCCTTCGTATCAGCTAGGTGAGGCGGACCTAAGGTAATCCTACGCGCTTTAGTCGTATCGACCACAACATATCGATCTCTTTAGGGGCTAATTTGATCGCTGCGAGCTTTTCAGCGAAAGGACTGCCATTTTTGTTGCGCAGTGCAGGCCCAATGGATGTAATGGATACATTACCGTACTTTGATAGAAGAGGCAAGATCGAACTCGCCGTGAAACATCCTTCTCTAGCTGTAGAGCATTAACTACACCCAGATTTTCCAGCAATGGAGAGGCATAAAATATGTTCGCAGCACTTCAACATCATTCATTCAGAATTTGACAATATTGAAATAAGACTTATACTAAACTTGGATAAAATGCCAAAAAATTGGAAGACAAAGTTGAAAAAGGAAAAAGGGAAGCTTTCTCCTAGTTTCTTCATGCAGCCGGCTGTTCATACCATCTCCATCGATGGGCCCCGAAAGTAGCAAAGTGGGGATGTCCCGTCAGTCGCTCATTAATCACTTAGTTGCTCTGCGCACTAACTTCGTACTTGGAGTTACGATCTATGTTAACTCACAAATGCATTTGATTAACAGCGGCAGCTGGCCGGACAGTCTTCTGAAAGCTGAACCGCATTCTCAAAGCGAAGGATGGGCGGTTGTACGTTTGACTTATGTAGTTGAGCTGAGGGGGTCAGCTCAATTTAACTGAGCTAACGGGTGGTTTTACTACGGGCTACAATCGCACAGGCACTGTTATATATCGGACTTTCTTGAGGAAACAACTGAAAAAGAACTTGCCTGCTTTCCTTTCATATCAGGGACAACGGGGTCATCATGCACATTTGCGTACATAATCCCTCCGCATTTTACAGCACCTCTAGCCTTTTCTTCCACTTCATCCATCTCCTCTTCTCGAAATGGTTGTCCGCCTTCTGTTCTAGAAAAAGGAATCGAATTAGATATTACAGAACAGTAATCTGTAGTTTGCTACCTCATTATCACCTTTATCGTAGGTTTCCAGTCATAGATAGAAGTGTTGTTTTTCCAAGCTTTAAGCACATCGAGGTTTTTGGAGAGGTAGTCGGACAAATAAATACGTTTAACGACGTCACGAAAGCAAAGAGCCGAGTAGACGGTTGGTCCTCAAAAAACAAAAGAGCATTTTTCGTCACTATTTGCCTGTGATAATGGTATGTAGAGTACAGTGTTAGTCTGAGCCTACCTGCTCCTATATCGAGCAAGGTTTCTCGTTCTTCTGGGGCCATTGACGACTTGATTGTGTGAGCAAAAACTGGCAAGGCAAAAAGCGACATTCGTGTGCCATCTTCGATAGATTCTCTGCAACGGAAACGCTTGGTCTTCTTGTTTGGAGAATGACTAGACGAGTATCGTTGAAGGATTCAATTGAGGAGTCCATCGTTATCCACAAAAAAACTATGATTTAGGACTCAGCACAGGTGTACAGAAGTCAAACTAGACTTCGTTTTTGGAGCCAGCGAAATATGTGGATATATTGGACATACATTTAAACTCCAGACACGCTCCAAACTTACTTCACAAGTTGATATGTACATGGTTAACATGCTTTAACGTATTCTTCACACGCGCGCGAATTCTGGTGCTGAATCCACAAATGGTTGCTTATGGCGCACAATTGATTTTATAACATCAAATCTGGACTATATGCACACAATGTTATTCCCAGCGGTATTATGTAAAGCGTCCTCTAAACCTATTTGTCCCAATCCTGTTCTTTGATGGTTTCTAGACCATCACCAAACTACGTGGGTTGGTTCGGGGCATATATATCAAAGAGTTCATAAAAGTTTCCGCATCTTTTTGGCTCGGACTATGTGAGCGCTCAAAAACCAGTGGAAAGACCGAGGCAGTGTGAAGGCCGAATCAAACCATTGCTTCTCCCTAATTTCTCGGCCAAAATTAGATTTAGGTAAGTATTGATAAATGTCGCGCTCCAACTCACGGCTAAACAAGTGTTAGGACGTATTAGAGGCACACAGCTATCTACTTTGGCTCACTTTGCTATTTTGGCCGTGGAGCGCGGCAAGTTTTCCGAAAAAAGTTTCTTTTCGTTTTGCGGCCTATAATTGGTTTAGCGCTTTTTTACTAGAAGAAAAGATTTAGCCTCTAATTTTTAAGAAGACTTTTTGCTAATCACAACTTCTCTTGGCATGTTTGAGGCTCACTGATGTATCTTCCAAACTATTAATTGAATAGGAAATGCTCCTCTTTGGAATTACGGGGTTTTCTGCCGCATTTATTCTATACATTCTATGAGAGCGGAAGACAGGTAAGTTACATACGCAGTGGACTACAATTAGTCCAGTTCTTGTTGGATTTGGGCGCAAAACTGTTATCCAATCGGACCAAAATGCAGCATCTATCCATCCAAAGACATATAGTCCCAAGACATTGGTCTGCGTCTCAGACCTGTCACGTGTGGCTAACATGTTGGCAACGTGGCTACAACATGTTTGCAACATGCCCCAACATGTTGGCAGAACATTTTGGCCACCCCAACATGTTGCTGCATGCTGCCAACGTGTTGCTGCCAACGTTGCCAATGTGTTAGTCACATGTGGCACGTCCGCGACGCCACAAGGGTAGTACGATCTGTGGAGGGGACGATAAAGTACATTTCCTAGGATTGTTCCCGTAGGTACCATCAACTTGGCTGCCTTCGATCGTTTTATCTTCTTAAGAATAAACGCCTTAAATTTGCTAAAGTTAACGTGTTAAAATGATTGATGAGCAGCCTCGTTGATAATACCTATGGGAACAATTCTGGGGGTGCACTATATGTCTGTCTGCACATGAAGATATTAAGGGTGGCCAAAGAGAGAGAGAGAGCGAGAGTTGAGCTAAGATACACAACAACAGAGGAGATGGAGTAGATTGCAAGCGATAACGAAAGATCTTTTTTGGCATACGCCACCGTTGTTGGGATTTTGGTCGCTACGTATACATTGCGCTATCAGTCCTCCCCACGTTTTCTTCTATCATTTCCAATGTCAAAGGCAGATCTTTTCTTTCACTAACATGGAATTTCCTTGAATTAGGCACATATTTAAGAATTACTCAAACAAACGCCAACATAACATAATCTCACTATGCAAATTAGTTTCTTCTGCATATATTCATTCTCACACATTATGTATCTCTAAATTTGGAGTTTCATGCATGTCCAAGCCTCTGTTTGAGGTTTCGAGAACTGATAGGAGTTTTAGTCTTGAATTTCCAAAAGTAAAAATAATGATCTGCAAGTTTTCTATGTCTTTCTTTGAAAATTCTCATGGAACTGAAAGTAATGGACCATGGATACTTATGAATCGCAGAACTAAGTTCTCATCCTGGTCGCAGTTTTCCGGATCGTATGCATCATTTTTGATAACTGGAAGCTTCCATAATTTTCCCCATTTTGGTCTTGAGTCTGAATAGTAAGCAAAGCTCAAGAAGACTAAACAACTGTTATGGCCGCAGGAGAGAAAAGAAAGTAATCATAGGCTGGCTGGCGCGGAGAGGGTACATAGCCAAATTTCAAAAAAGAAACTCCAGTTTCGAGGAGCTTGCCGCGCTCCAGGCTCAAGCTTGACCGGTAGCGAAGTCAGCCTAAGTAGATGGCCTCGAATACGTCAGCGTTCAGCCGATGCTTGAAGAGAGATAGAACTGCTCATCTCTCTTTCCTATGTACGATTCGCTGTTGCATGTAAAAATGCATGGGAATGTTGTCTTTGATGTAAATGATTTTTGCGACATGAACAAATTACATAGCATAATTCTTTGGATTTTTTTTGCTGAGACACTTGTCACTCCACATTTCTACGGCAGTTTATGTTCCTGATGTATATTTTTATGGCCCCTACCTCATGGCCAAAGGGGATACGAAAGAAGTCCAATTTTATGAGGAATTTGTTTTGAAAAGGCTCCAAACGAAGTGCCGGGCTATTACTATGGTTCTGGAATTCGTGGACACTGCCTTTCGCCTTTTCACTGAGCTCTGATCATCGCGCTTCAGCAAACGAAGAATGAGCTCTCACAATCACAAAAAACCATTGCATCAATGCCCACTCAACCCCAGCCATTTGATGTGTCAGTTTTTCGAGCGACAAATGTTTGTGCTGACGTGAGTCTTTGAATACGGTCGAGCCGATGTTCATCAGTGTCAAGTGTCACCTAAGAGTTAGACCAACTGGAGTGCATGTAAGCGATACGTACAGCTGTCTATGAGGAGTCCCTGCATATTTTATAGCTGCTGCTTGTTAGCAGTGTAAGAAAAGAGAGAGATTATGCTACGTGAAGTATAAAGTATAAAACTTTGAACGAAAATTCATTAAATTTCCATGTTTAAAGGATTTTATCACCGTTAAATATCCCCCAAAAATTTTTTTAAATAACCAATAAACAATAACATCTAGCTAGACGTTATAAATCAGAGATTGGCGATCTCAACTATTTTGAGAATATGTTGATGCAATTCAATTCCTATTGTCGGTGCTTCTTGTCGATTTTTTAAGCAAAACAATCAGCTGGCGGTCTTAACATTTGGTTATATTTTCGTAAAAGATGGCCGAAATTCTTGTCATAATGACCAAGATCTTACTAATGTTAATTCCGCTTCTGCATAGACTACACAAAGCGTGAAATTCCTTCCTCGTGAAGCGGGAAGGTATAAGTAACCCGATCTGATTGACATTTGAGAAGCTCAAGAAAAGGTCGTTGCCGGTTTCAACTTTACACGCGAAATGAAATGGATGATCGAAATGCTTTCAAGTTTTAGTAAACATATGGGCAACGAAATACCAAACAAAAAGCGAAGCCTGTAAACCTATATAGCAGAGAGAAACCGTCTTTCTTTGAACAGCATTGAATCAAGTATTTTCATTAAGTTGTAAGGAATTGGAAATTTCATTTAAACGAATTCTTTCGGCGCTTGGTCGGACTTTGACACCAAGTTTTTTTTATACTTTTAGTAGAGGGAAACCTGAACTTTTCAATACTCTTCTGACTTCTATCGATGCCAAGGCGTGATCTGCACATCAAGAAGAGAAATCTTTCCAACCACAAAAACTTCACAATTTTCTTCCTACGGTCATTTTTTGTGCAACTTAAAGAATTTCGTCCAAATTATGGGTGATCTGATTGAGAAGATCGTTAACTTCTGACCCGCAGCTGCACTCCAGTTTTGCGATTTGCGCTCAGAAATTACAAGCTATCGAACTTGGCTCTGACTGCAACTCTTTTCGCAGCTGCGTCGCTTGTGCGGGGATCGCCACGCCTAGATGATGGTCCAAAAGATGTGGGCATTACCCAAACAATGTTCTCAGTAATCAAAGATTTGGTCATTTCTGTGCAGAACTAGAAGACTTCAAATTCACTTACTTGAAAAATGGTGCATTTTGGGGGCCAAAAAATGGTCGATTTTAAAAACTTTGTGGGGAGAATTTATTTTTTGCAAGTGGTCCTTCAAAAACATGAATGGTCCCCATACCAGCCGCAGCAGACCTCCATATAACTACAGCATCTGGGCTCTCCAGCTCTGATCTTGCCTGAGATAATCCTGCACAAAAAGGCCAATTTTCGCAGGCTTTCTCCCTTCTGCGCATGCTAGTGGACCGCAGTGAAGTTTGAGCCAGCAAGACAAATATATGTAGTAAACAAAATTGTCCATGAAGTTTGTAGCTTCAAAAAAGAATCAATCTGCTTGAAGTTACAGCAACTTGAGAAAAATTTTCGCAAGTGCCCGGGAATTTTAATACAAACGATTTTAGCTTTTGCATTGCTTAGATATGGCTGGCGCACTGAGAAGATGACGGACATACATAACAATTTCAACATAACTATTGTTGCAGCAGAGCGTACGCTGCGTGTCGTGATCTCTCGTTCGCGCTGGACCTCTGCGTGCTCTTGTGCTCATGATTACACCGTGTCCCTAAACGATAAGGCACCGTTCTGCAACTGCCGTCTATTCAAAACAAACGTTAAAGCCATACATGTGGGCAAACCAATCTAGCCGTTTTTTTGATGGGGTTTATATTATAAAAGAAGATTAGAATCCGATGCTGTGAACTACAACTACTGATCCAACTTTTTTATTATCATATCAGGGTGCTCCGTAATTTTTTTACCACTTTTACTCCAACCGTCGTCTCTTTGTATTTTTCCTTCACCTGATGTGGCTTGAGTAATCATTCGACAGGGCAAAGCAAGATCTACAAGATGGTATGAAGAATCCGCCTAATTCTCATTTTACTGGAAGTTTTGAGCTGAAATCTGATAGCAGTCGAAAACGAACTTTTCCTTAGAAAATCGTATTTCCGCCCCAAAATGTCTTAAAAATTCCCCATTTATCGTAGCATATGCTTGATACAGAAGCTCCTCCCACGCATGTGATCATATAGCTCTTACATGCAGATGTACGACCACGTGTTTGTAACTTTGAAGGTGCCCCAGTTCTCGAGAAATGCTGATGTTTAGGGTCAAAACGGTAAAAAGTTACTGGACACCCTAATACAAACATTTCTGCATTAATGGTCGTCCCTCGCACGCGTATTGGTGACGGTATCATAATTATTCCTCTCAATAATTCATCTTCGAATTCATTCTCTAGAAACATCTGTGCAGAAGTTTTTCGTTGTATTTACCTCAAAACCGCCACCTGCGTCAGTGCGTTAAAGCGATGGATAGGGCAGTCCAATGAGAGCCTTATCTTCTCTTTTTTTCTTATCTCTATTAGGTTGTTCTCAAAGGTTTTTTAGTTTCAGATTTCACAGCAATAAATCGTACACTTTTTGATTCTACTTAGGGTGCGAGGTACTGCACGACAGAACAAAGCAAGTCTTATAAATGGTTTGTAAGAGTTCGCACCAGCTTTACTGGAACTCGAGTTGCAAGCCGAAATCTTAGAAATTTTCGATCCCCATTTAATTGTAAAGAATTTTTTGTCCAAAGAAAATTCACCGATTTTCCTATTCTCTCACGCATATGCAATTCACATAAGACATCATATACCATTGCTGTACTTGTTTTTGTGCTAGTGACCGATAAAAACAAAAATTTCAAGTTTTCAAAAAAGCGATGCTGTGCGCACGTAAGTAAATGTATACTACAAGTGTCTAAAAATACGACAGCGAAGAGCATTCTACGTTCTAACTCCCGCGAAATATTGGTTTTGAGGACTCTGGCAAGAAAAGCTGAATCTGATAAATCTAAAAAACTAACGCTTCTAAAAACCTAAAAATCCATTTTATTTCTGAAGGCTTGTAGTTATTCATCTCCTTGCGTTAGAACAGCACAGTTCCCCTTATATGGAAGCTTGAAAACTTCGGTTTTCCGGGTTTGCGAGCTTGGAAAGCTTTGAAAAAAGCTCATTTTCGCCATTTTCATGGCCTAAAAAGTCCAGATATGGGTTCGTCATGGCGAGAAGACTTCGATTAGATGAAAAACTGAAAAGCGAAATTTTGCCGGGACGCTGCCTCTAATGCGCAAGTTCGAAAAACTTCTAGTAGACCTAATATACCATAACGAAAAGGAAGAGCGCAATAAAGCGAGCAAAAGGTGATGCCCCGCATCCTAGTTCCCACTAATTACAAATCCAAACAGCAGAGAAATCCTCTCTTTGCTTTTGAATTTGCGCTGGCACACGGAACTTTTATTCGATAATGATCCCTTGACAAAAAAGTTCTTGAAAGGGCGCCATGTGGATTGCTTCATGTTTCTCAGTGACAGAAGTCAACACCACCTGTTGCATAGTTCAAGTGGTTCCGGATTGCTTGTACCCGCTATAACTGCGCTGCACGTTCCAATATTTTTGCGAACGAAAAGATTTTGCACTACGTTGAGAACCGAAATGCTGGTGGAGGAACAAATATCATCCCAATGTGGAGCGTCAGCAATTTGTCTAATTTACACAAGAGCCACGACATCAATCTCGCATTGAAATTCTTGTAAGTCCCGATCTTCTAAATTTCCAATTATTTAGGTTGAATCGTGTAAGTTGAAAAAAAAGGGAGCTCACGAATAACTAGGCTTGAAAAGAGTACGCAAAATACAAAGTGTCTATTAAATGAATCATCGCCAACAATATAAGCTTTGTATTTACATATTGTACTATTATGCACATACGTATCTATTTATCTATTTACTGATCCTAAGCAAGAAAATCTCGTTAAGATAGGCCATAATTTTCGAGCTTCCTTAACTTAAGTTTTAGTAAGAAAACTTTGTGCGAAAAATTTGATGCTGGCTATAGGGTCAAAAACCTTGCGTTGCAGACAAATCCTCTTAAACGTTTTTAAGCATTATGGAAGACTTCCACAATGAAGGCACAAGTGCTTCAAGATTCTGAACAAGGTCACGAAAACTCTAAAAAATTCTAGAATTCTAGTTGGTTTTCATTTTACAAAAGCATGGGAAGCTTTATTTTGAATAGCTGAAATGTGATAGAAAAAGCTTTGAACTTGGTATACTCACCTGCAAAAAATCATGGATAGACAACAACTATGAAAGTTTTTATGAAAACTGCCATAACAGATTATTTTTTGTCAACCTAATACTTCTCAGAAGTGAGCATAAAGTAACCATGTCTTCGACATTTATGAAATATTGCCTTCGAATAAAGCATAGCTTGCACAACGATTTTGAATGCACTTTTAGTTTAAGAAAAATTAGAGAAAATTTTCGAAATTATTCTCTAATGTGATTCTAACGGTAAAAAAGGTGCACTGCTAAGTATTTGGAGGGTACCCTACTTGTTACAGATTTAGTTACTGAAATGCTATTCTATGTGAAATTTTTGGGAAAATCACATTGGTCATTCAAGAGCTTCAAGGAAATAGATGCATTGTCTCGCACTCAAATCGATGTGAGTGGATGCGGATGAATGTAAACAGCTTGACGTGAGAGACATTACACAGATTCAAGTGCTTTTGCCCCTTATTATCCATCAAATACGTGCTCAAAGCTCTAGAATAAAAATTAGAAAAAGAACGCACTTTCCAAAGTAGAATCGAAGGTAGGCGTCCGGATCGAAGTCGGTTTCGTAGTCTTCTGGTTTATGTGTTTCTTCAGATGACATCCTTGCTGAAGACCTCACATCAATAGAGAATACAAACTGTCGCAGGGGGAAAGGGTATTTGAGTATTTGTCGGGGGTAAAAACAGCCACGACACTTCACGACCTCAGACAATCATCCGCGATCTGTTATTGAGGGTTGTCGCTCCGGAGTGAACGAGCAATGGTCGTTGCAGGTGCGACGCAAGTTCGCGAGAAGAGCGGGGACTTAGGCTGAGGGAGAGGCGGCTGAGAAATTGAGGGGGTTCCACGCAAAACATTGAAGAACAGATGTTTGGCTTACAGCGAAGCTGAAAAGCACGGGGTGGTCTGCAAAATTCTGCGGAATGATCTTTGTTGATCTCTGGAATTTCCTGATTATTCAAAAGGTAGAGTTTAGGCAAGTGTGGATACCTAACTTCTTTGAAAAATACTGATGAAAAGATTTGATTCAACTATAACACAGCGACCGCTCAGTTTATTCGTAGCATATGGTATAGCAACAACTTCAGACTTCTGCTCATTACCGCTCAATCAGCGCGCTTGGAATGAAAGATAACGGCACTGGGCGAAGGTTTGAACTTCAATTTTTCGGCTACGAATGAAGCGTATGATGGCCACTCTAGCGATGGCTAAGCTGAGGCCTCACTTTGTGTTTTCGTATAGGAATCTAGCAGTGGCGTACCGGGGGGCGCCCTCCCTTCCCCCGAGAACGGGTCGCGAAATTTCTAAAAGTTACTTACATGAGTTACAAAGTTGTTCAAATGACTGGCTCTACTTATAAATAATTTAAATATTTTGTGAAATTTGTAAAAATTCATCTCAGCCTTGTAAAAAAATTTTTTCGGAGCGTTGCGTCAGCCACGCCCACTTTTTCTGAAGTTTCGGGGTTATGAGCCCAATTTTGAAAAACATACCAAAAAAATTTTCGGAGTGTAGGAAAAAATTTTTGCCGCCTCCCTCCCCCCTCCCGAGCCGAAATCCTGGGTGCGCCACTGGAATTTAGGTATTCGAAATAGCTTGGACATATTACCCTCTGGATCGTTCTTTACTTTCTATCGTTAGACTTAGTTTTCCCAAAAAATGTTGTGATTAAATCCGCCTACAGATAAACTCGCTAAAAGCTCGGAGATTTAGAATTAAGGCGAGGAAGAAAGGACCACTTTTAGCAAGTGGAAGATCAAAGCTAAGCAAATGTAAGGTAAGGTTCGGGCATTGAATCTTACACTATCAAGACCAGCTGTTAAAAGTTCTGGACTTGATTGAAGAAACCCTATTTCGCATTTGCAGAATTTACATGATTTGATGAGTAAAATGAAGGCTATCATGCAGGATGGCCTAAAATTTATGATCTATAACGGTTACGGTTACAAGACTAAGGTACTCTAAATAGAAATCGTTCGCTTGTAATTGAAGAGCTTTACAGCCAAAACCTAGACCCAGAAAAAGACAAGTCATTGCAAACAAGCTCGCCCTCTCACAAGCTTTGTTGAAATTTGTGCAAGAGGTCCTTTAGCCGAGAAAAAGGAAGTATTTGTTTAGTAAAAGCTCACTAACAAAGAAATGCTGGGGAATGCAAAGTCTATAGTGACGGAACACTGTGAAAAGAAATGTATACTCAGTCATTCCAGCCAAGGACTTCATCTTGACTGATCCGCCTCTCTCATTCGTCATATCACTTGAGACATCGGAGCACTTGAGCAATGGTTATAGGATAGCTTCGTATTATCTTTCAGTGACGCAGATCGCTGTTTTGTCCTGTCTAATGATTGGAAAAGAATAAATTTTGCTAAAATTTCAAACAAAGACATATGACCAGAGCTCGGCACATGTGGCTTACAAGCAAGCTGGACATCGTTTTTGGGACAAAAGCAAAGGGGTGCCGCTTTTGTGGCCGAAAAAACACAACTCAGGTCACGTCTTTTTAGTCAACGTTTCGGTTTTTTAGGGTTTTTTACGATTAGGGTTTAGAGTCGAAGGGAACTTCGCAAAATTCTGCAAAAATCAAGAGGAACTTCGTTTTTCGTTTTCGGAAAGCCACCTCTTGCCGAGCCCTGCATATAACTAGACAGATTTCTTGTCATCATCTGTGGAATAATGTGAATAACATCTTATTAACTCAATGGCGAAATATTTCAAGAAAAAAAAACAATGCTGATTTTGACCCAAAGAGCAAAAATCCGTTTGACTTCGCCCAATTGGTCAGGTGGGTGTAAAGATACGAGCTGGTTTTACGGTGAAATCTCTTTCGTATGTGTCCGTCATAGCTTTTTGGACTTTATGGGCAGCTTTTGAATGACGGATCCACAACCATACTGCGTGCTACTGTAGCTAAGTGTCGTACTATGCGACATTCATCAAAACCCAAAACAAATCTTGCATTGTTGAAAAAGAATTAACAAATTTGGGAAACTCTAACGGGGATGACGGTAGTTAATATGCTGTTACCTGTAGTAGTTGCAAGCATCTTGAGAAGCACGTTCTCGTTCAGTGAAGAGCAACAATGGCACGAAAGCGCAATTCATCAATGCAAACTGAGACAATGAAGCTGATATGAATGTGCACAAGAAAAAACAAAAGTGTAAGTGTGCACCAGTAAATGAGCAGCATAAACCCAGTTTGCCCTAAAATTAAAAAAAAAAAGGGCAGTATTCAGTCTTTCGCAAGATAGCTTAGTTGTGCTCAGTGTTTCGTACCTTAGCGCCAACTCAACAGTGTGAATTATTGGAAATAGTGCAAACTCAAACTTGAAGTAAAAAAAAGGAATTGTAACGAAGGCGTTGCCTTTTCATATCATATGAGGACCGCTAGCCTGCGTGGTAGACGCCTATGAAGGAATTCGTTTCTACACATTAAAATTTGCCTCTTTGATTTCCGCTTTCAGGTCTCAAATAGGGGCTCAACTCACTTCCACCCCTCTCAAACTTCTCCCAATTAGATAATCTTGTTTACCTTTTTTAAGTTTTCTGGAAATCCCCATAATAACTCAAACGAGTGCTTAAGTTGTCCCTTTTGATTTCTCCAGTAGGATACCCTTTTGTTGTCCGTTCCTCAGAACTGATCAAGTCAAATATTTCCCTGCATTCTTTCTCCTCGATTTTCGTACCTCAGCCCCAAATCCTTTCTATTGTAAGTGTATTCCTAATCAAGATCACTGCAATTTTTCCTTTCAAAAATTCCTAGCTTGAGTGTCCTGAGTTGATTATTTTGGAACGTTTCCACAGCTGTCTACACAATCCTTTCTCTTGCAAAGCATTGCTCAAATCTCTCACTTCCATTTACAGTCGCTCTGTGTGAGCCATCATCGTATACATTGAGCGTAAGAAAGAGGCCTTATCAAGCAAAATGAGTACGTTTTCGAAGTCAGCATAGCATATAACCTCTGTAGAAGTCTTAGCAAATTCTCAATCCCAAACGCTGAGCTAGCTAGCTGTAACAGTCATTTTCAAACACGACTGTCTTTGTCTCAAAGGTGAGTTAGTTATTTTTTGCACTCAACAAAAGCATTACTCCTTGTTGGCCTATTTGGGAACCGCACTAAGAACACGCCACACTGGAAAATTGGAAACCCAAGCAAAGTCTCGTGTAAAGCATTTTTAGTTTTCATTGGCTAGGCTTTCAACGATCATTACTTAAATGAATGAAGTCGGACCAGGCTCAATCACCTCTGTAGAAGCTACTCAGACAGTCAAAGGGATACCTCCGGCAGGCAAATGGCGCGAGTCTGCCACTTCGCGCTCTGGAGCGCTCCACGTCAGTGACGTCACGGTGAACGAATGGGACTCCTCTCCGGGACGCGCAAATCTCTGCTCCAGACGTGCGCCAGATTTGGGAGAGCCCCGGAGCACCAAAATGGGTGAAATGGCAGGGCTCCGGAGCGCTCCAGAGCTCGAAGTGGCAGACTCGCGCCATTTGTCCGCCGGAGGTATCCCTCGACTGTCTGAGTGGGAGATAACTGACTTTCCTTCGACCTTTCACTGCGTTCGGGTAAGGGACCAGGAACTCGGCGGAGGTATCCTCACCTACAGAAGAAGGAGAACGACGTGTTGGTCCAACGAAGGGTTTTTCCACCTGTCTACTTAATCATTCATGAATACTTTTTATTAGTTGGTTGCTGGTTTTTTGCCTTGTTTTGGAGCACCTTGTGTGTATTTTAAATAAATAAATAAATAAATAAAAACGATATTGAATGACATGAATATCTGATAAAATCGATTTAATCAATCTTAGCGTAAAATATGAACACCAGTGCTTCACCTCTGCTTTGCAAACCAAAATATTTTTGCAGGTGGGATTGCAACATATCACTTGGTTTTGCATTCCCGCGGATAGGAAAATTAGGACCTTGAGGAATGGAACCAGTTTCTGTGAGGTTTTCCCCTCGTAAACTTTATTCTTGGAAATTGTTCGTTAAGAATGCCGAAGCCTTTCTCCATCTCAGTCTACGTGGAGCAAACGATGCAACACTCATCTTAACATCGATAAAGCAGTGACTTTCGCTCCAGTACTGGCGCTTCTACCTTGGACATAAAAGCCATTGTTAGTTAAGCGCTAAGCGTTGCCCCATTGCTACCTCGTACCTGCTTTTAATGGCCGCACCAACGATGAACGTTACAATGTAAGCATTCCTGTAGTAAGGTCATTATGGTCTTTATGCTAAATCCATATAGGTGAAGCGAGGATTGATGCTTCGATATCACAGATAGCTTGCACAGCAGCACTGTTTGAAACATTAGCATATAATGACGTCATACGACTGCATCACAGAACTTGAGCTAAATTGCGTAACGCGAAGGCGGTCGAATGGCATATTGGGTTGGAGAGGTGTGCAGGGACATAACGTAGAAGCTGCGTTTAGACTAGACTTACAAATAATGCTATCCTATCAGTTGGACCCCCAATACTAGTGACCTGGTGGACCCTGGTACATACATAGTAGCGATTTGTCTAATTACATGTTTATCATGTGGCGACACCTACATCGGGGATATCGGTCACCCTCTTTCTTTGTATCAAAGAATATCTAGATGGGTTAAATAAGCCCTCCACACCTCTGGGCAACATCGTAGAACACGCCACAAAACGCCTGAAGTTCAAATTGGAGTGAAGATCTTGTCGGCCAGAACTACTAGCACGCAGGAAGTTGGAAGTGTTTTGGATAGCTGCTAAAAATCCAAAAATGAACAGAAAAGACAAATGCATTGGGATCACCACCGAACTAGCACCTTATCAATCCC